GGAGCCAGGGCGGATGGGCCAGGGGGTGCGCGGCTCGGGTGGCTGCAGGTGGCTCAGGGGCCTCGGCCCCAGGTGCCCTTGGGACCCCGGGCTGGGGGGGGGGCTCAGGCCCCCACCCTCAGGGAACGGGGAATCCTTGACTTACGACCACAGTTCAGCCCAGGATTTATTTTTGCAATAAAGTGAGCCAAGTGCTAGGCGACTTTTGCCCTCTTTCGGTGCCTTTTCGCGGCAGCGAAGCCAATCCCTGCGCTTGTTAGGTTAGTGACACGGCCACTAAGTGAATCCGGCTGCTCCGTTGACTTTGCTGGGCAGAAGGTCTCGAAAGGGGATCGTGTGATTCCCAGGGACCGTCTCAAGTGCGAGTCAGTGGCCGAGCGCCTAGATTTGGGTCGTGTGACCATGGTCGTAAGTGTGAGAAATGGTCATAAGTCCCTTTTTTTCAGGGCCATTGTAACTTGGAAGGGCCACTGATTGAAGCGGGTATAAGTCGAGGACTGCCGGTGCATCTGGGGGGGTCTGGCTGCCCCCCCTCTGACGCCCCCCCTCTCTGTCCCCCCAGAGGAGGAAACTGGACGCTGTGTATTACTACATGCGCAGCCTGGCGGCCAGCAACCCCATCCTGACGGCCAAGGAGAGCCTGACCAGCCTCTTTGAGGAGACCAAGCGCAAGGTGGGTACGGGGGGGGGGGGGCTGCGGGCCGGCCCTCCTTGGGCCCCCCCCCCCCAGGCCCCCCCACCCCCCCCCCCCCCACAGGCAGAGCAGCTGGAGCAGAAGAGCCCCGCCGAGTGCAGCCAACGAAGCAAGAAGGCGGCTTTCCGGCCCTCCGGGGATGACGCCACCCGCCTGGAGCTCTGGATCCACCCCTCCCACCCGCGCTCCGGCCAGGACCACGAGGCCAGCCGGGACCCCCAGCAGGACGGCGGCCTGAGCAGCCTCAGCCCCAGCGAGGTGAGGGGGGTGCGGTGCTTCACAAGGCCACCAGGGGGCGCTGCTCCACTTGCTATGGGGGGGGAAAGCCCTGGCTTTCGGCTCTGGGTTGGGGGCAGCGGGCAGGGGGGCCCCGGGGGCCAGTCGGGCAGGCCTTGCCTTCTCCTACGTGGACGGCCGGATGCGGGGGGGGGGGGGGGCCCCCGGGGCCCGGGGCCCCGGGGGGGGGCGGGGGGGGGGGGGGGGGGGGCTCCCTGGTGCCCTGGAGCCCTGAAGGCCTCGGGAAGGGAGTAACTGGCACAAGCCGCCTTTCCTGGAAGCGCCTTTAAGTTCCGGGGGGCAGTTTTGTCATCTCTGGCCGGGGTGTGTGTGTCCAAGCTTGGCCTCTCGAAGGCCAGGGTACTCCCACCCGCAAAATCCCCCAGTCGGCCGAGGGGAAGCCCCCTGGTCTCCAAGCAGCCTGGACACCCACCCAGCCCCCCACTGTCAAAGTTTTGATTTCTGAAAAAGAAGCCAAGGCCCCCCCTTCAAAATGGCACCGAGGCCGCCCACTTCCGGAAAAGCCCCCAGGAAGTCGGGTGAGCCCTGCCCTTTGGTGGTTCAGTCTACAAACCATGGTTAATGGGGGCCCTGCGCCTCTCCCAGGGTTGTTGGGGGGGGTGGGGGTTTGCTGCGAAGAAAGCAGAGGCACCAGCGTGGTTTTGGGGGGTGGGACAACGGTGGAAGCTTCTGGGCCCCACTGGAGTCCCCTTGGTGTGGCCCCCTCCCGAGACCCGAGCGGTTGGGGCTTCTCTGTAGAGGAGCCAGGGGAGCAGCCCCCGTGGGTGTCCCTGGAAACCCTCCTGGGGCCAGAGCCAGCTGCCCCCCCCCCCCCCCCCCCCGCCCCCCCGGGGGCCTTCCGGCCCGGGGCCCCCCCCCCCCCGGGGGGGGGAGCTGCTTTCTCTGGAGGTGAGCTGCTTCGTTTCCGGCTGCGAGGGTTGCAGGAGGAAGCGGCGGGTGCCAGGCTGCTCAAGGGGCTGGTTAGAGGCAGAAACCACAGGCCCCATTCCCACCCCGGCTGGGGGACGTGACACGGGGCACGCACTGGCCTGCCGGAGCCCCTGCTGGGAACGGAAGGGCTGTCGGGGAAGCTCCCCCCCCCCCCCCCCCGCAAACCTCCAGCCTCTCAGGAGCCCCCCCCCCCCCCTCCCACCCCCGGGTGACCTTTGGCTGCCCCCGCAAGGCGGGTGACGTTCCCAGGAGGGTTTCCAGGCAAGGGGGGGGGCGGTGGGGGCCACGACGTGAAGGTGCCACGGTGGGAAAGGGGCCGGTTCGTTTCCCAAGGCGGCCTGGGCAAGAGGGCTCTCCCTTCCCCCGCTTTCATGAGGACTAGAAGCTTTCCCTGGCCGCCTCCTGACCCCTGGCAGCCCTCCTCGGTGGCTTTGACTGGCCTCTCCCGGCTGCGAGACTGGGGACAGGCGGGGCTCTCGTGCGGAGGGGCACCCAGGGCCCACAGGCCCCCTTCCCCTCCCCCTCCCCTTGCAGAGGGCACCTCTTGCGGCCCCCCCTGGCAGCCAGCTCTGCTTCCAGCTCCCTGAGGGGAGGGGCTTCTTGCCCTGCCCCCCTCCGGAGTAGCCACCAGGGGCTCCTTCCCCTCCAGGGGCTCCAGCGCCCAAGCCCCCCCCTCCCCGGCCTCTGGGGCCAGCAGACCCGCCTTTCCTGCCCTGGGGCCGCCTCTGGCCAGGTGGGCGTCCAGGCCCAGAATCCCCCACTGGCTGGGGAATGGTGGGAGCTGCCCCCGTGCCCAGGGTGGGGAAGGGCTACAAGACGAGGCTCCCGGCCTCTCCCTGCCAGCCTGCTCCTGCTCCCCTGCTTGCTGCCCCTGGGGACCCCCTCGGCTTCGGCATGGGGAGGGTCTCCCAGGGGCGTCATCTGGGCGGCCCTGCTTGGCTTCGGCTGCCAGCTGCTCGCCAGCTTCCTTGAGGGGGAGCCCAGTTTTTGGGGGGGCTCTGGCGGAGCTCTGCCTTGCCCGTCCCCCAGAGCAGGCCTGGGCCTCAGAGAGCTTCCGCCCGGGGTCACGGCGAGGGCAGGGCTGGGGGGAGCTGGGCTGCTTTGCAGAAGTGCCCGTGGGCTGGTGCCGCTTCCTCTTGTGGGCAGCCAGGCCCGGAGGTTCCCAGCGCCGGCCCGGCAGGTGAGTCACGCAAGGGCTGAGTCATCTGCAGGGCGCTCGCCGGGGGGCGGGGGGGAGCTCTGCAGCCGGCCCCGGGGCCAGGGGGAGAGGGCAGCTATGCCCCGAGGGTTTTTTCCCCTCTTGGGGTGTTTTGTGTCCCCCCCACACAGACACACGGCCCTGCTGGCTTTGAACTGCTGTCTTTGCTGGCCCAGTCTCCAGGGGGAGCGGGGGGGGG